GTTTCGTTTGCATTTTTGTAATATGATTCGTGTAAAAGTCACAAATTTATAATAATGTGACTCTTTAGGTAGCGACAGCGCATGGCATTAATGGTTATGCGCATACGCGCAGGGAACTATCCGCCTTGAGCTGAAGTACACCCTCACCGGCGAAAGAAAGACAGGCTGAGGCGGGCAAACACCATACGTTGCAGCATAAATTCGTTGCGCGCACTCAGCGTTGCGCTCTTTTGCAGTGAGAGCGTACCAAAGGACTGTCAATATCATTCACAAACACGCCCTCTTTTGTACCCGTTCGGGACGGATTAAAAGTATCGCTGGTCATTTCAGATATCAGAATGTGGTCGGGAGTTGGTGACCAGTAGTTGCAGAGAGCTACGTAACACAGGTTGAGGCCACTGAAAATCCCCCGGGAAAATTGCAGTTCATTGGCAAAATACTCCAGACCACTGGAAGTGATTGGCACCCACTATTAATTAATTTTACCCTTGAAAATCATGAGTGAATACAGCCATTATTAATCTATGAAGGTCCATTAAGCACTAAACTTCAAGTGTGCCGAGGCTGCGTTTTGTAATGAAGTGGTTTATTTATAAAGACACGCCGTTCAATGAAAGCGTTCGATCGAGATGCATAAATGGTTCATCGTTACATGTTATGAATTGACCTTAATAAATACCCGTGGTTTGTCGATATCGAGCAGCCGATCAATAGAGGGTTTTTTTTCTGGAACGAGTATATAAGACGGTTGACGTTTGGCGGTGTTCAGTAAATCCCAAGTTTGATAACAGAGTTGGCAACCATGTTTCGCGTTCCACGGCAGTCTGTGTTGATGCTTTGTGGGGTTTGTTTGTTCGTCGTGGTGTCGGGAAGAGGTGGATTGGTGATGATGACCACGCAGTCACTGAAAGACGCTCACGAGCACACTGTGGACCCTGCCGCGTCGAGTAACACCACCGGTCCACCCGAGAGAGGTACGGGGGAGGCCGGGGGAGAGGATGCAGGGGAAGACGGGAAGTCCACGGTCACCGACAAACGGGGAATTAGTCAGGCCCCCCTCGGGTACGACGATGACGGGGAGATGACCACCGCGTACCCGGAAGACAGGGGGGACACGGCAGGAGATCAGCGCTGGGAAGAGAGGGAAGGAAGTGGGACCCAAACTGTTATCCCACAGCAAAGCGGGGACAGCTCCCCTTACAAGGATCGCCCTTCCGAAACCGAGTCGCCACCCACAAATCCACCACCCGGCAGTGAAGGAGGCGAGAGCATAACCCAAACCTCGGACAGGAAGAGTACCTCTCAAAACTCGACTCCGCCGACCCCTACCCAGGGGCATCAAGATTACAAAGGCGACAGCACTTTGAACAAAACGGCCACCCAAGAGAGCGTGTACAAGGATGAAAAAGACGGCAGCTGGGTTGGAACGACGACTCGAAGCAACAGCCAGAATAAAGAAGACGGTGGCCACACCAGCGTGACTGATCCTCAAAATCAGGGAGAGTGGGACGGGACGGTCGGTGCTGGTCGCGATTGGACAGGGACCACGTGGGCTGACGAAAACCTAGACGGTATTAGTTTGGGCAGGACAAAACGTGCAAGCACCGAACACAGCGGACTTAATACAACCCATACCCCTGTCACTTATCCCGGCTATCCTGCCAGTATCGACGGAACAGCAACGCCAAATCGCGACCAGTATCGCCCTGATGGTAAACATGAGGAAAGCATGGAAGAATGGACGACTCCTTCAAGCGATACTCCTGTGGGTGGTATCGAGGGAGGCAGTATCGATACTACAACAAACTCACTCGAAAGCGGCGATACCGGTAAAAGCCTGCATTTTATGTACTGTTCCACAATTTAATCGGCTTTTTTTTAATCCGTCACGACCAAACTACTTTCGTCGATACTATCGAGTCAATGATACCAAATATTAACAGTATAAATAGCACCTTACGCTCTCATCTGTGATGTGATTGGGGTCATCAGTCTGACTATTTCGATGGATTGAATACGATTGTCCAAGACAACTGTAAAATACATGCTACACAACAGCCCCGAGAATGTCCATTTTGTTACTGCCAAAACTTTCACAGAAATTTCAAAAATTGATATCCTTTGGGCATTGTGACGGAGCGGTCGCGGCAGCGTGAATCGCCCGTATTCATTTTATTCCATTCGTTGTTGTATTTTTTTAATGACAACTTGGAACAGTTCCTCGTGCTAGCTATGCCAGGATACTTCCGGATCATTCGTTACCCCCCCCCCACACACATCACAAATCGTGCGAACAATGAAAAGGGGCTTTGCGTGCATGATAACTCTCTCACAGATCCACACGGGCACACCCCCTCCCCGTGCATACCCAGTGGGACGAAAGCACTGGCCTGCAATGAGATCACGTAAACCCAGCTCTAAACCGCATCTTGGCCTCAGGACCACGGTAACCTAAAATGCCGCGCCGTATGTGCTCAATTTTTCAGCGATGTGATATCTTAATGCATGTTTAAAATTTCACAGAACCTTAAGGAATTAGTCGTTATGCCTTGCGGTCCTTTTGAAACTGTTTATTTTATGACAGTCACTGAAATTAGGCCTACTACCGTTCTCTCAAAAGGTCCATTTTTCTAGGAAAGGGGTCGAATTTTTTTTCCCGTAATCACCACTGATGATTAAAGATCGAATCATGTTGACCTTGACAACCAAAAGCTATGCTGGGTTAAATCCAAACTTCGCTTAATTTGTGTGCACACTTAAAGTTATGATGTGTATATCAAGTGTTTATGATGGTTGATGGACAGCCGACATCCGAAGTTGCAGAAGGCGGAATCCGTCCCTCCTGTCCAGAGATCTGAGAAAAATGTCCCTCGTAGTTTATTTCTGCTTGGCCAATTCCACCATATACTGTTCTCCTTTGTGAATGAAGGTATTTTGCAGTGATTTTGCGCTTTCCAAACACCAGGTTAGTTATACTGAAATAAACCGAGTATTACCGCGGGCCGGTGGTTGAGATTTCTAGATAGAGATCGCTTCTGTGGACGCTCTCTCAATTGGATAAGGCCATTAGGACTTACGAGAACCACTGTTTAATAGAATTTGGACTTGCCTCTCTGCCCAACAAGTGTAGAAAAGCTGTTTTATTATATATCCTTTGCTTAAAGATGTTTTGTGTTAACGATAGCTGGAACACTTATATTGGGAGTGCGCAATATTTTAATTAAGACCGAGTCCAATGGTGGATTTGTACTTCATGCAACCCGGAGGAGTTTATGCCCCTGTCATCTCTACATAGGGACGAAGGAAGGGTGTTGGCGAGAGATTTTGGCTGCTCCGGCCACAACATAGAGATCATATTAGCGACGGAGGTTCCAGGTTGTTCGTGCTTCACGAGACAATTCGGTCCAAGGCGGGCTAGAGCTGAGGGCGTTCAAGGCAAACTCTGGAGGGCGTTCAATCGAAAATGGCGGCGTGCTTGAAAATTAATGCAACTTGTATTCAATTCATGATCAAGATGATGTTGAGCCTTTGTCGTGTTCCGCCAATCTGGGGCTGTTTAAGCACAGAGAAAGAGCATCTTCCCTTGTTGTGGTATGAATAACTTCGCAACCATACTAACGTTCGTACAAATACATGCTCATACGTACGTGAAGTAGTGCACTGTCACTGTCATGACTGTCATACAGTCAGGTACTGAGGTAGGCCTTGCCGCCGTGGCCTAACGCTACGCGCTACAACACTGACAGGGTGGTTCGCCTAGGCTTTAGAAACATTAGCATGGTTAGGCCGGGGCTTGCTCTGTTAAGTGTAGTGTTTTTACGTTGATGCTTTTAAGGGATTATTTGCGGTACTGTCTGTTGGGAGAGTTTCATATACGTACATGTACAACACTAAGTTTACTCTGCTGCATAAATTAGCCATCACAAATTGATAATCCTAAGCTTAATTTAGCAAGGAAAATATTGAAATGGATAGGCCTAAGTCTACTAAAATTTTTCTGCCCAGTCTCGCTAGGTTCGTACACAGGTGTCAAGCATGTCAAGTGATGTGTGTGGAACTCTCCCTTTCAAATTCAATTAGTTATCAGAATTCTGCAATAGCTCATTGGTGCGCATATGGTGTTCACTGCCTGTATCCATGGTAGCACCCTTGCTATGTTGAAAATTTCTTTTTTTTTAATTTTGTAATCAGTGATGGAAATACTGGATCCGCACAAGCCATAAGCCATTAATTTAAACCTGAAACACCATGTAGCCAGGGATCACACCCCAATAACACGATACAACCTGGGAAGTGGTGAACAGGGATCACTCAAAGAGGATACAGCTTTTTGAACATAAATCATGAAACAAATTATATAGGGAAACTGGCGAGGTACTTACAAATGATTATACAGACGAGCAAATAAATTGACTGGAGGGGGGATTTGATCCTGAACTACAAAAATATAAATACAAATAACCACGTCGCAGTTTCTGTGAATGCAAAGGCCTTGGTTTCAAACTTACTTTTGAGCCAGGCATTATTATTTACTTACACGTTCACAGCCTGACTTTAACCCTAACCACCAAGCATACTGTTTGGCTTACACTACACAATACTACAAAACACTAAGTAATAGCCTAAGCCTGAAGGACCTAGCGCTACAGATTACTACTTCTGGCTAGGTTACTTCCATTGTTACTCGTACAGAAAACAATAAAGCCATGCATTCATCATGCCAAAGCACTGTATGGTACAATGTCTTTTCTATTGTATCTTATGGTTTCAAAGAACAATAAAGTCATGTCCTCTTACAAGTGACAGGGCTGAACGCTACATTTTACTAGAAGTAGTAATTTGTAGTATTATGTAGGGTTAGAGTCAAAAGGTTATGATTGTGTACACATTTCGTAGCCAAATGCTTTGCAGAAAATTAGAGATATTGTTGGGGAGAAGAGCGCTTTCTTTTTTAAAATTAAAGTGCCATTCATTGAGGTTGTTTTTAATTTTTTTGTCAGTCCCTACGACAGATGGTACTGATGATGAAACACCAGACAGGGGGGAGGATGTGACACAAGATCCAGGGGATGGTGAAACTCCAGATGATGGTGGTGAGAACCCGGATACCGGTGGTGAAAACCCAGTCACCACCGGTGAAAATCCAGACACAGGGGGTGAAAATCCTGACACTGGTGGTGAAAACCCTGACACGGGTGGTGAGAACCCTGACACGGGTGGTGAGAACCCAGACACTGGTGGAGAAAACCCTGACACAGGTGGTGAAAACCCTGACACGGGT